AGGAATTCATCAGCTGTTTATGAACAATGCCAGCTCACGGAACATTCCGTGGATTCCCTTGGATTCCAGCTGAACAAAAGATCTTGCCACGGGAAGCAACACGTTCGAAGTCCACATAAGGGAGACAACTGAATAGAGACCATGGCTTCGAATTAGGTAACATCTATGACACTAGTTTAGATCCCTTGAGACCCTTATAAACATGATATAACCCTAATTCTTAACATTTACATTTTTATTGTGGCTGATGAAGTTCAGTTGAGCCGAACGAAACATTCCACCTTTTAAAAAGACTTTTATTGCGCTCTGAGTACAAGAAACTATTTTATGTTTTAATGATAGAACACTTACACAGTGTAACAGAAAGCCGGTAAAAATATGTAAATTGTAAGTCTGTGCCAATTAAAGTTATTTTTTACAGCACCAGAAACCATAAGATAATGTAGTTAAAGAGACAGCTTATTATTCACCGACAGTGAATAATTGTTCACTGTACCTTCTGTTAATGGTACCCCCGTGGGGAACCAATCTCTCCAGTTACTTACCTATGTTTGATCTTTGTAAGTGACAACATTCCTTAATGAAGGGATTCCCAATGCAGCTGGTCTTTCTATGAATTTCACTGTGCTGAGAGAGTAATGAGCACATGTGAAGTGGTTTGGTCTACTTATGACTGATAAACAATAATTAATGTTACAAGTTCCACAGTTGTTATGGATTCTTATTGTCAATGACAAGATGCAAGTGACATCTTGTTCACAAGTCACATCAGTTAAAAGATCGATGTCTTATTGTCTTGTCTTACAGCTCAATGTTGAGTTCATTGTGTTTTTAAGTATGTCTTCTGTAGACAATGCCCCGGGTAAAGCTGATTACAATTGTAACTTTTCGATCAACAAGTAACATCTTAACTTAATGTAGTTAGATTGCTTGTCTCATTTAAAATTCAATGATTATGTCTTTAATAAAAAAGATTTTGGATCTTGGTGATGTGCCACACTTGAGTAACACATTAAACATTGCACAGCATAACAAAGGTAAGTGGAACATTGCTTATAATCTACTATTGTGTCATGTGCTCTGGCTAGTTTACAAAATTAATAATACTCTGTCTTGAAAAAATTACTCAATTCTGATTGGTTCAAATGTAACACCAGTGCAAATTACAACCAAGATATGCAAAGTTAGTACAGACACTCTAAGACTAGCAATGGTCATCCGAGGTATTTCAAAAGTGATCGAAGTTCATCTGAAGCTTTCCGAAGGTCGCCGAAGATAATTAGACATTTTTAAGCTCTTCCGAAGACCTCCCGAACCCTTCCAGAAATTAGCGATTATCACCCGAACATTTTCAAGCACCTCTGACAATCGCCTGGATTTCTGAAGAGTTCTAAAGATCATCCGAAGGTTACCGAAAATCACCCTAAGATTGGCGAAGATTTTCGAGCATTGTTGGAAGTTTTGCGCAAATTTTCGGAAATTTTCCAAGATACTTGGAATACCAAGGACAGCCAGCGTAAGGAAACAAATGTGTAGATAAAGCCCTTAGGGTTACTGTATACCTGAAGAAACTATACCAAGAATGTTGAAATAAAATGAATTGTCAAATTTTTCATGACGTCCCATGACCTCTGAATGTGAGTGTCTGAATTACCTTTTGAAAGCTACAAGTGTAAGGGAATTTGTTCGTTCGCCTTCTTACGTGGACACCCGGGTGTGGACAGTGGCTAGTTTAACATATAAACAACAAAAACATGTCTGCGAATTGTTTATTCGAGATATTTTTTCTCCGAGAGTGATTTTTGCATGATCCCTCCATATTTGTGTAATTCTAGCTCGAAAATGTTCTGTAACTCTTCACTGCAAGTTACACTTTTTAGTGCTTTTGATCATAGGCGTACCACTAGTTGCGGTAATTATGTAATTTTTCGGGCAGAACGCTCATGATCCGGGCAACGATGCTTGAGAGAAAACATTAGCAAATAATGCTATTGGCGTAATTTTCAAAACTCGTAAATATATGAAGTTGCTAGTTAGTTACTTTTTCTAAATCTCTGTGTGATTAGACGCCCGATTAGGAGTCTTTAGACTGTCAAGTGGTTCTTCAGAGCGTTAGCACTTTATTCAAGTGGTATCGTGTAAAGAGTAAAATTTATATTTGCTGCTGATCTGAAGTATCGTTGGCGCACCGAAGACCCCACTGCTCCGGAAAAAGAACGAGCCCTCTGTTTTGTTTTTTAGGTTTCAAGGCTTGTAAGCTACTTTGTACGACTTTGGCCTTGCTAAAAAGGAGTTAGACTGAAATGATATGAGGGACCTTGAGTTTTCTGTTAGCTATAAAAGAATCAAAGCGAACGAAGACCTAGACTTTTGTTTTTGTGGTGACTCTGAAAGGGCCCGGGGTTTGTAATGTCTTAACAAAGGAGTGTTATAATTTTTCTGATATTGAATTTTTCGTATGAGGTGTTCCTCTTTTACGTCCATGTTGTTCGAATTCACCATCGTATTTACGCTGCATCTGAATTCAAAGAAGGGTAGGCTTGTAGTGTACGCCGCAAGTCTCCTATGGCCAAAACAAGACTAAGGCGTCTTGTACTGCCTCATGTTGTTCTTTGAACGTCTCGAGTATATCGAGAAGTTTGTCTCGAATAGATCAGAGTCCAGGTTCTGTAACACGTCTAAATGGCCCATCTTGAAACACAAATATCTGTTGCTGATCTACCGATCGCTGAACGCGCGCCATGAAAGGAAGAACTTTTTCTTTTAATAACTTTTAGATTTTACTAGATTGAGACTGTTGATGTAAGTCATTGAGTAGGCAAGCTTTCAATACAACTATTTTTGGGACT